AGGTTTATAGGCCCATTCGAGATACTAGAAAGAATTGGTGAAGTAGCTTACCGCTTGGCGTTACCTCCAGATCTCTCGGGTGTGCATGATGTATTTCATGTATCGATGTTGAAGAAATACGTGCATGACCCGGGACATATAGTGAAATATGATGAGTTACAGGTTGAGAAGAACCTTACTTATAAAGAGCAGCCAATAGCAGTACTGGATCGAAAGGTTCATCGGTTGAGAAACAGAGATGTTGCACTTATCAAAGTACAGTGGAGCCGTCATAGTGAGGCGGAAGCCACTTGGGAAAGAGAGGAAGAGATAAGAGCCAAGTACCCAAATTTTCAGTTCTAAATTCTCGATGAGGTAATTCTAAGTTTCAATTATGTTTTGTCTTATTTTTTAGGACGGAAATATTTTAAGGAGAATAGATTGTCATATTCATATATATATATATATGTATATATTATTATTATTATTATTTTTAGGTAAGTCAGTGAATATTCACGTAATGCAATTTTATGGTTAATTACTATTAATTATCCAATAATATTACTTTTGTTTATTTAAGTAAGGTGAGATTTTTCTTGATCTAAATCTTACATTAGCCGTGCATTTTTTTTATGGGTCCAAAGGTGCATTATTGCCTAATGACTAATTATAGCCCATTAAATATTAACTCAATAATGAGCAAACATGATTGATTCTTTAGTATTATTTAGGAGTAGTTGTGAGTTGTTAAAGCAATAATTTGAGTTGATAGTCCAATTTTGATTAAATTAATGTTTCATTGATTGATTCCTTAGTATTATTTAGGAGTAGTTGTGAGTTGTTACAATAATAATTTGAGTTGATTGACCAGATCATGTTCTTCACGCATGATACAACTCATAGTAGGTAAGAAAATAATTTTTTCCTTCATCTCCATAGTCTATAAAAAGGCCATCGATTTTCACTCAAAAATCATCAAATTTTGAGAGCTTTACTCATTTAATAAAGTTGTTAATATATATATATATATATATATATATATTATTCAAAGAGTGAGAAAAATTAGATTAGAAATCAATTCGAAAATCTTGTCGAAACTGAGCATCGAGAGTGTTTTGCCAAGGAAGTCAAGGAGCAACTTTTGATTGTTAGAGCAATAAAGAGGTAATGAGTATTTCAATATTTTTCCTAGCTTAATCATGATATGTTAAGTTGATTAAATGATAAATATTGAAAAGAGCTTGGAAAATAAGTTAGTCCAATTAAGCTATATTTTTTAAAATTGAGTTATAAGCATGATAGGATGAAGTTTAAGGTTCCAAAAACTCAAAAATAATATGTTGATCATGAGGTTAAAATTTTAGGATTTTTGGAGATAAATTGCTATGGTAAGGAGATATTCGATTTTTAAAGAGAAAATTAGAAACCGAGCAATTTGACAATATATGCTAGTATTTGCTAAAAATTTTATATCAAAGAGTATGATATAAAATAAGATGTTTTTAGCAAATAAAAAGAAGTTGAGAAAGAGTTAAGTATTTTGGTGCAAGATTTATGGAACAGATAAATCGAAAGTT